CAAACTCGGGCGACGCTTCTGCCGGTGGCCTGAAGGGCCGGTGATCCTGTCCCTCTAGGCGGGATAAACCCAGAGGTGTGTAGCCTCGCTGCCGGGTGTAGGCAGGGAGGTGAGTGCCTAAGGTGTACCCTAAGCTTGTAAATCCCGTTGCCAGTCTCAATGTGCAACGGGGTCCCTATGCGCCTTAACGCACTCGTTAAGGCGGAGCTGTGAAAAGAGCGGGTTAGACAACTGGGTACAGCTAGGGGAGCCCCCAGAACTGTGGTCCCAGCGCCCTTCCGATATTTGACGTTACCCTGAAGGGGTAAACGCCGGTGTGATCGGGTCCCACACCACCTGGGTTGTTGTCACCGTCAGGTTACCCCCAGGTACCGCTAAACTGCGGTGCATTGGGGCTTGGGGGATAAACCCAAGTCTCCCAATAACGCCTGGAGGCGTGAGAAAAAGGTTCCTTGGAGGTCTGGCCTGGAAGCCAGACACTTCAGGATACATTCTAATATTTCTTTTGACATTTTAGAAGGGCTATACCTACGGCAGTCCCCAAAAAATGCCCACCCTGTACGCTTTCCTAGCGTTTGACACTCTAGAAGAAAGCGCCAAACAAACTCGGGCGACGCTACTGCCGGTGGCCTGAAGGGCCTATGAACCTGTCCCTCTAGGCGGGATAAACCCAGAGGTGTGTAGCCTCGCTGCCGGGTGTAGGCAGGGAGGTGAGTAGGTGAGTACCTAGGGTGTGCCCTAAGCTTGTAACTCCCGTTGCCAGTCTTAATGTGCAACGGGGTCCCTATGCGGCCTTAACGCACTTGTTAAGGCGGAGCTGCGAAGAGAACGGGTTAGACAACTGGGTACAGCTAGGGGAGCCCCCAGAACTGTGGTCCCAGCGCCCTTCCGATATTAGACGTTGTCCTGAAGGGGCAAACGCCGGTGTGATCGGGTCCCACACCACCTGGGTTGTTGACACCGTCGGGTTACCCGAAAGAAAGAAAGAAAAAACATTTATTTAGCACCAGGCACGATGCAGCATATTGATTGTCTTTTTAAATAAAATATAAAAAGACAATCAAAGTACGACAGTGGATTAAAACAGAAGAAAAAAAAAAACGCTGACAACATGCCTATGCTAAAAGGGTCACCCACTAAGTATAAGCCAGGCATACAAGTCACCAAGCAATGATTTTCAGTGGGCACCCATGCAATGACGCACGTATGGTAGCAACGTTGTATGGTTAGACAAAGACAAAAAAAAATACGTATATATATTGATGCATCTACACACCCACCACATACACATATACATACACACACATATATACATATACATACATATACACATATATATGCAATAGTTATGCAGATTCAACAATGGTATACTTATCAATATAATAAATATAAAAAGTAATGTAAAATAAAATGTAGACAAATTCTTGTGAGATCTACGGACCTGTTGGCAAATGGTCATGTCAATGAGGAGCAGCTCCTTAGTACCACGGGGTCCATTCCTAAATCCATTTTGAGAGACCGACATGATGTTATTGTCTTCAATGTGTTTATTACGTTTTGCTCTCAAAATGGATGTAAGAAATGTGTAAATTGTCGGTAGGCACGTAATCGAACGATAGTATTTAGGTTCCGTGGTACTTCCAGATTTATGGAGCAGGTGAGTTAACCCTGTCGTAAAGAATTGGGGCAAAGACCAGACTCCAAAGCTGATTGGGATTGAGATGCTAAGCAATTATGCGAACTGATAAACTATCTTATCCAAAAATTATGCAGCCCATCTAGGCCTGGCTTTTAGCTTTTTAGCTTTCCAGTTGGCCAAAGGATTGGCTGCTTTGGATACATCTTTTGCTGTTATAAAAATTGGTTACATTTCTGGTATCAGTTTGCATTGTGTCTCGACCTCCTCGATCCAATCCCCTTCGATGTGACTAACAGGTGCCGACCAAATGCTGTGCCAGAACGAATTCATAGCATCAACATTTGGTAGGCACGCATTAGTCCTAGTCTGTTCTTTTTTCTCCCTAGTTATATACACCCTTGATCTCTTTGGAATGTGGGTATATCGTTTCACTCTCTTCTTATATCGTCTAATACGGTTCGCACATTCATAATTCTTCTTTTTCAGGAAGTCAACACGCTCCGTAGTATGTGATACGTAATCCTGAGACCAAAATCAGTCCCCCAGAACGCCTGCCTCACGAAGCGCATAACTCTTGGGCGCGTGTTGCCCTCCCTGAAACAGATCAATTTGGCAATGAGTGTTGTACTCTCATCGATACGTCGTTCAATCCTGCACTGCCCAGCTGGTACAGCTGTTGTCTGCCGTGTGACATTATTGTCTTTTTTGGTTAGTTTGACATATGCCACACGACATGCTGCTATTGGTCCACAGTACAGAAATTTTAATATTTATTTAAATTTTCCAAAATAAGGGTATATTTAATATTGAAATATTATTTTATAAACAGAGTAAATTTGGCATTTAGATGACGTTCACTGTTGCTAGCGTATTATATCTATTATGTATGTCTTTACCATTCATTGGACCACAAGGTCCCGGTCATTTAGGAGGGGTACGAGGGGCCGAAGCCAACTGCGCAGAGGCCCTTTAGACAACTTCAATGTAAATGAAATAGACTTTCCCTGTATGCACTATGGAAATGCACCCAAGGACAGTCCCCGGTTAGTGTATAACTATTTTGGATAATGGAAAAAAAGGTAAGGCTATGGATGAGTTGCTGTGGACTAGTAAATTGGGAACTATGGATGACTAAGACACCTGCCGAAACAATGTAAAAATGGCAGGCGGAGACTCGCCAACTCACCGACCAGGCGGGGCCTGAAATGGTTGCTGGATATAGCAACTGAGGGGCAACGAGAATGTGAGTGGCTGAAGCTTCTGAGTAGAAATTCAGATCATCTGCTCCAGCCGAAGCCTCCTGCATCCCTGGCCCACTCGCGACTTACGAATAGTTTCTTACCCTCCGAGCAGGATCACTGCTCTCGCGACTCCACTTTGGACGGCCAATGAAGGCAAGTCAGAGGTGGGAGACCTGTACCTTACCACTGTTCACTCCAGCCAGCCAATAAAGGCCAGCCGGAGAGTAAGGAACAGTGACATTCTCAAACTTTTTAACTTAGTCGTATAACAAATCTTTGAAAGGAGGTTCTTATCCTGTTTAAGATTTTCCATCTTAAACTTTTATATTAAAAGCTTATTCATCATTTTCTTGATGAATATGTCTGCCAAGCCATGGCATTATAAATTTAGTAATGTAATTACTTAAAACAACTTTTTATTTATTTATCTTCACGTCATTCGTTCAGTGTAGGTCACGAAAGTTGTCCATGGTTCCGAAGACGTTGTTTGCCGGAATAGACCTCCTGTACTCGATTATTTTGTTCTTTGTGAAACAACCAATTCATTTACTGGTACGTTTTTGTTTTTGACTATAAATCTGTTAGACAGAAACTGGCGAATCATTTTGTGGTCCTGAAAAGGACCTTTTGTTTTGAGAAATCGATGCGATATTCTCACTATTTGTCGGGCTCTAAAGCCGAACTACCCATCGCCGTGTGACAAGAGAACCGAGGAGATCACGTAGATCATGCCGCCGGCGCGGCCGCTGGCGCTACTTCTCCGTCGTCCTCATCACCCGACTCCCCAATCAAGTACTGATATGCCAGTACAAGCATGTCAAGGATATACTCGTCGGAAACGATATCCATCTTGAGCGTTTACAATTTGGTTACTGGTACACTGGTACTACCAGCTCGCTCAAGTACTATGCTACGATATCACAAGTGGCGGGGGGAGGCGGCCCGACGGACAGAGAGATCCACCAATCACAGTCGCCTATGTCTGTCTCGTTCTAGAGAGCGGCGAAACAGTCAGTATTGGGATGCATGTCGACCGTATGTTACCTGCGAATGCTTGGATATTTCGGTCGCATTGCCCGCCGCCAGTCAGATAATCTCGACAAATTGGTTGTTGTTGGTAAGGTGGAGAAGGAAAAAGACCACGTGGCCGGTCACCTAGCCGGTGGTGTGACCAAGTTACCAACTACACTGGACGCTCTGTTACGAAAGCCCTGAGAGAAGCCGAAAACAGGACAAGATGGAGGGAAATAACTCAGAGAGCAATGAAAGCCTTTCAGGGGCACGACCTTCAGAAATGAAGCAAGCGACCGAGAAGAAGAAAATTGCTTCTTACACCTACTGTGTCATATCTCTGTATCGCCCCGTGGTTGACCGTTAGAGAAAGCCACCTGGCATTAAGTCCGCCATCGTATGCAATACCTCTATATACATAGAAGCGTTAATAAAATATAAATTTGTTAATAATTATCACAAGTACAGCATATTTAATGTTTTCAATATTTCACTAGCATTGAGGAGTAACTTATTTAAAACGAATGTAAATACTAACAAACATAGATGGAATCTACATAAAAATGTAATATTATATAGATAATCTTATATCTTTTAAAATTATAAGACAAAAATTGTAAAAACTAGATAAAATTATTGTAAAATAAATGCGTTCGAATGGGATTAATGCTCAAACCTCCGTGCGAGAAGAGGCTTTGCTAGGCAATGGACATTTATAGACTTTTGATGATTTGTATCTCACATGCGAAAAAAGAGAGTTGGTGCAATCCGAGGATACGGATCTTTATTTTTTTATTCGATTGATGTCGGCATCCGCGACCTTGAAACGACAGCACGATAGATATCACGCTCACCGAACGTCGGGCAGGACAGGTTTTGACTTGCATTACGCGGGTAGTACTTTTGTTTTGGTTATGGTCAAATCAAATCAAATCATTTATTTGCATAATACAGGTATAAAAGATGTTACATATGGATATGACGGCGCCGCCGTCATTATTTTGTAAACTGCGAATGTAATGGGCAAGCAGTGAACAAACAACTGACCAACGTCACTTCAACCCCACCACCGAGTGATATATAAAGCAGTGCAAGCGCAAGCTCGAGTCTCACGCTCCTGGCCACGCCCCATCACGCTCCTGGATACGGTCTCCAAGCTCTTCGAGAAGTTGCTGCTGTTGCACTTGCGCCCACACCTCCAGCCACGCGGCGAACAGTTCGGCTTCAGGGCCGAACACTCCACCACCCTGCAAGTCGCGAGGGTACGCAGTAGTTAAACTACAGCCCGCCCTAGATGCACTCCCTGAATGGCTGGAGAAGTGGAGACTGGCTGTGAACGTGGCCAAGACACAAGCGCTCGCCGTGGGGATCATGAAGCCGACACCCATGACACTCATGGGAGAGCAGGTCCGGTGGGCGCCGAGCGTTAAATACCTCGGCGTGACCATCGACCGCTCGCTCTCAATGACGCCCCATGTGTGTCTATACTATGCACACCTCGTGCGCCGGTCATAGGTGATAAGATTGTGGAATAAAAGGCAACACTTTATATACAAACACTTATTTATTACACAGTCACATATTAGAAAAGGTACGATAATCAATACTAAATTACTATACAAATGTCTGGAAAGTTTTACGAGTTATCATACACCTATTTCTACAGAGTTTGCACAATGTTATTTCCTTTCACTATTTTACGAACACTCGCACAAATTTATGTGACCGATGATTGACGAACTGTCTCGACGGGCTGTAAAACTGTTACAATAGTTGCCCCGGACTGTGCGACGTACGTACGGTGACGGTACACCGGTCGCACTTTCTGCTCTGTCCAATCCCAGCCCGAGCGAAGGAGAAGTTCTCTCCGTCTCACTCTATTTCTCGGGCGGGGAGACCTCTTCTGGACAGAACAAAACTGCTTTTTCCGGGGCCTCTTTTAATGATATTTTATTTATTTTGCTCGTCTCCTACACCATTTTATTACTAATTTAATAAATTACGGTTATAAATGGTGTAGGAAGACGGCGTCGATCGGAAGTACAGCCCGTCGATACGTTTTTAATGGATTTTACTTAAGTGAACAACGAATTTCTTAATTCTTGTGCGAGTATTCACGTGTTATTAACAATTTTTACTATTTTATGACTACTTATTATCTAAGGTAAATATCTACTTATTATCTAGAGCAAATTGCCGCTTATTGTCTAGGGCTTAGTATCTTTAATTCTCGTCGTCCTGCACAT